TAAATATTTACAAGAAATAAATAATCGAGAAATAAATTATCTAGAATAGGGCACGAAAACGTATCATTTTCATGTGATGGTTCAGATAGATTATATTTAGATATATACGCGGAACAAAATCGGTGAATGAACAGTCGTCATATATGTACAGAACGGATAAAAATACGACACATTAAAGTGCGACACATTTTCTTGCTGAAACCCACGACACTATAATTTACGACGGAAAAAGTCGACACATTTTAACTTAGAGTGAATGCATTCTGAAGTGAACTAGTTGACTTTAAAATTTCAATCTCAACTAGAAAAAATTGAAATTTCAGTCTGAACTATTCATAGCGGACTAAGTAGTTCATAATGAAATATTTTAATCTTAACTAGTTCAGATTGAAATGCGTAAAATTAAAACTTCTATGCACAGTTGAATGAGTGGATATAATTTGAAATGGATAGTTCTTTGTTTTTGAAAGTTTAAATAGTAAATTCAACAACAATGCTCATTCACAACTTACTAAAAATATTAGCAAGTTCTCTAAACGACAACGAACTTATCATGTTGGTGATATTGTTGGCTTGAAGGTATCTGATGTTGATCGCACAAATACTTCTTCGACGATACTTCCATGTAAAATAGTTGATTCCAAAGATCAAGATGGTGAAGTTTTCTATAATGTTGCAACCATGAATGGTATTATAAACGAAAGTTTCCAAATCAACAGTTTTTCTAGGTATTACAGCATTCAATTTCACTGCATTACGAATTCTGAACATCGATTCATTGCCATCTATTAGCTTCATACAAGCATGATAAATTTACACTAATTTAAAATCGGCTGATATATGTAAATGTAATGGTGATTGTAGGGTGTGGGTGTGAGGGTGTGGGTGTGGGGTGTGGTTGTGGGGTGTGGGTAAACACAAGATCAACACCCACACCCACACCCACGCCCTCTTAACGAGTATACATCTTTTACATTGCAAATAGAAGCTTTTCGATAATATTTATGATCAATAATATGTATGTTTGAATATTTTTCAATAAGATTACATCGGTAAGAGTATATATTTGATACAATGATATTAGAACCAAATACGTAATTCGTCATAAGTACGAAATTCAAAATGAATATTGCAACCATGAAATATTTGATCACGAGTAGCTGCAATTAATTTGTCTCTGAACAAGAGCTTTTTTTCGTTCTTGGATCGATAAAGACAATTTCTGTTTAATACTAAATGTACCAATTGATCAAATTGATGACTAATGTTCAAAATAAATTCAACAAGGTGTTCATTCAGCATCATAACTGAATCGCTTGTTTCAAGTGAATATAGATGAGGTACTAATTCATTTAATCGATGAATAGTAAAATAACGTTTTGGATTGTCATAGTGTCCATTTAATAAGAGATGCACATGTTTCAGATTTAAGTATTTTCGTGAACAGTGACGAAAATCTCTCCATGATACTACAAGAGACGAGAGATTTGGTGATGCATCAAGGATTCGTTTGATCATGGCGATACGTTGGCATTTCTCCATTGAATTTGATTTGATGTTGAATGTAATAGATCGTAAATGATTTAGCGATAAACTCCTGTGTAAATCACAATTCGATGTCTTTGATATATTCATCTAAAGAAATACAGATACATGCATTAAGCTTTACAGTATTTAATCATTTTTCTACTTGTTCAATAAGAATATTGATTTTTTCTGAAAACTCGACTTTTATACATTCGAATTGTTAGAGAAATATGACAAAAGATATAGAGTCATGTACGGAACAATTGAAATTTATGTTTAATATGATAATTGTCTTCAGATCAGATATTTTGTCTTTTGTATTCAATATGCAAAGGAATTTCTTTTCGACATTCGAACAACGTTTGACTCACTTGACGAGAGGAAACGTATAAGTCGAAATCGGACGTATATACACTACTGGCCATAAGTCCCGAAGCATGTGATACTCCCAAACGCTTCGATAGTTTTTTCATCAAATTTTTACCAGAGATAGAGCTTAAAAAGCTGTGATCATCAGCACTGATCCGAACTTTATCGGCTGAGATAGGATGAAGTTATGATTCAAACAATAGCCACCTCTGATTTTGTGTAAATCAATATTCACAGTTTTTATGAAAAATGATCCAGATCGTAGAAGTTTTGTTTAATCTCCAAATTGTTTCTTCGCTTTTTAATGTTAGTCGATTTTTCTCT